GGGGTGGGGGGGGGGAGGTGTCTAAATACATTATAATTTTTACATAGTAAAAAATTCCTAATAATGTTTAGTTTATACCATGCTTTATAAAAAACACCTAAAATAGTAAAATACAAATTCTGCAAGCTGAGTTTATTACATCTTCAAAGACATTGTACACATTTCGCACCATTGAACATTTTACGAAAATACAAAATTGAACATTTTTTCTTTCCATGTGTCAAAAGGCTTCATTGGTCACTATGTATTTAACTTAAACTGCATAGTCAAAATAGTTTTATGAAAGGAGCATAATACTTCTTCTAAACTGTTAAAAATAAATTGAAAAATACCTTATGAGATTTAACAAGACCAAAATGAATCTAAAGCTTTCATTCAGAAAAATGTTGACCTTTGTAATGGTCACGGGGTTTCATTTTTAAAAAACTAAAATCTTATCACTTCATTAAATATTAGACTGTTTTTTTATATTTACAAAAAAATGTTCGTAATCTTTGTTACATTAAAGTGATTGAGAACTTTAGTGTTGATATCGTATTTAACATTACCTTTACCAGTCTATTTAACACTAATGACATACATAACAAAATAAACTGACGTGGAGGACCTGGAGAAGGGGGGTTGCATCCTAAATAATGGTCTTAAACTATTTACCCTGTCTTTCTAATATTACTCTTGATTTCTCAAATGTCTACCTTTCTGATGTCACAATATTTGAAAATCAGAAAATGATTTTTAACAACAAAAAAAAAAAAAACTTGTCAAACTAATCAAAAGCAGACTAAAATACAGCTGTATAGTCTGTTCATTAGTATTTTACACAGGCTTTCACAAAGAAAGATTCCCTTTTTACTTGCTTTTTTCATACAGAACATGTGCCCCCCCCCTTCCCAGTCCCAGGTCAAAGAAATCCACTCCTGCTCTGCTACAGAATTCGTTTTCAGTTGAGATCTTGTGGTCCTTGTCATCTCAACTCTGTCTTAATTGAGTATATAATTACTATTTCTCTAACATAGTTCTCTAATATATTCTCTATTATAGTCTTATGCCAAAATTGAGCAGTTGGGTATATTTAACAGCCAAATAATTGTTTAACTAAAATTTTTCACCTTCAGAAGACTACATAATATATGATTACTTCAATTTAAACTGAAAAATGAACAAAACTTCTAGACTTCTGATCTGAACTCTGAGAACCCAAGTCTTGTACCTGGTTTTTCTGCTGTGTTCCTTGTCTCATTTTATATAAAATATTATTATTGGAAGTAAAAGTTTTCTTCAAAATTTCTATAGTAAAAAAACACTACATACGGAAGTCCTTGTCTATGGGAAAATTGATTTATTCGATCTTTTTTCTATTGACTCACGAAAACTGTGGTCTTTCCACAACAGAAGAAATATCTCATTGTGATAAATTTTGGCATAGTTAACCTGTGAATTCTTTGTTCTAAAATCAATTGCATTATGATGTATCATGTAAGACTTTTTGACCAAACTTTTATCCAACTGCAGATGTTGAACCAAGACTGCATAATGTAGTCCAGTGGCTTAGGGTAAAAAAAATGGCCAAATCGTGACACGGCGGATAAAAGCACCAAATTTTGCATGTGGGTACCTTTTGACATACTAAATCAAATTAGAGCCGTAGCCCACGGAAAAAAGTTACCGTTTGGCCAAAAAATCCAAAATGGCCGCCAATTTGTGAAATTCTGTAGAAATATATATACATACCTATGTTGATTTTTATCAAATAAAGTATTTTCTCACTGTTTTCCACATCCTTATTACCCATATTATGCATACATGTCAGATAACAAGCGACTGTCCTTGGCCGCCATATGGCATAGGAATACTAGAACATGTACAAGGGTTTTCAACTAATGCCAACTATAGGAACAGAGGCTTAAGCTGGCCAGGCTGACAGTAATCTAGTGAGACTCCCCACAGGGATATATCGATCTAAAAATCTATGGAAATGGGGTGATACACTTTCTACACACAATGAGTCTTTCATAAGGATAAATAGGATATGAAAAACATTTTAAAACGATCTAAAGTTAACTACATTTAAATTGTACTCAGTGTATCTCTGGTATTATTTGATTATGTGTACGAATATTCAAATGACAAAAGGCAGACATCTTGAATTTTTTTCAGAATACCCAAAGATACACACATGCTACAGACCAGGTATACATCATAGGGGTAATAATAAATGAAATGAAAAAAATATATATTATTTTTAAAACAAACCCATGGTTATGTAATTGTATAGTGAACCATATGCCTCTCTAGCAGCAATTGAAACCCACCCATTAGTATTCCTATGTCAAATTGAAGCCATCTTGGATTTTCTCAAAATATCCAAGGATGCACACTATTTACCTACCAGATATATATATATATATATATATATATATATATATATCACAGGACTAATAAAGATGAACAAAACTTGATGAGCAAACACAATTTCACCCTGGTAGTAGATGAAAAGCCATGGATGTGCAGTTGTAATTCCAGTAGTATTCCTATGGCCAATGACGACCATCTTGGATTTTCTCAAAATGATCAAATATGCACATTTATTACCTGCTAGATATGTATCACAGTGTAATAATAATGTGTAAAAAACTGAAAAAAATAACTGCATATGATAGTGAATTATGTTTTTCCTAGCTGGCATTAGTTCCAACCCCTATAATACTAGAAGTATTCCAATGACATATGGCGGCCATCTTGGATTTTCTCAAAATGCCCAAGAATACATGTTAGTTACTCACCACATACATATTGTGTGGGCAGAAAGGATGTGGAAAACACTCAGAAACAAACTTAATTTGATAGTGGAAAATTAATCTTTTCAGTTGCCATTAGTTGAATCCCCCATATACTAGAATTCTTGTGGCACATGGCAGCCATCTTGGATTTTCCAAAATGCCCAAGAACACTTCGTAGTTACTTACCTCAAACATATTATGTGGGTAACAAAAATCTGAGAAACAGACTTAATTTGATAGTGGACAACGTATCTTTCTAGCTGGTATCAGTTGTGCACTAGTATTCCTATGGCTGTTTCTATGGCATATGACAGCCATCTTGAATTTTTTCAAAAAATCCGAGGGAACTTGTTTGCTATCTGACATTTAGGAATAAAATGGGTAATAAGGGTGTGGAAATCTCTGAGAAAATAATTTATTTGATAAAAATCAACATAGGTATGTACATATTTCTATAGAATTCCATAAATTGGCTGCCATTTTGGATTTTTTGACCAAACGGTAAACTGTTTGAGAGGGCTATGGCTCTAATTTGATTTAGAATGTCAAAAGGTAACTACATTGCCAAATTTGGTGCTTTTATCCGCCGTGTCACGATTTTTTCCTTAAGCCACCGGACTAATGGTTCTTGAGGTAGGTAATAATATTTGTTAACTAGCTCAAAATATTTTGGGGCTACTGTATAAGACAAGAGGCAGAACTGAACTCAACACACACATGGACCCTCAAATCGTGCACGCTCAGCCGTTTGGAGTTGTCGTCATTGCTGTACAGAAAGAGTTCCGTTGTGTGCTAGCACATTTTGACTCATGGAATCTACCTAAACACCCAGCACCTACAATGTCACTTCATCAAACCAAAGATATATATATTTATACCCTTTATGCACTTAATAAAAACTAAACGTATGTCTGATTAAAATCTCATGCAACAAACTTGTGTAAAACTATTCTATCACACTAAGAGATATGATATGAATTTGGGAGTCTACACTGAAAATAGAAAATTTCTATGGTTGATACAATCCTCTGTACAGATCTACTCATTATAGATCTCTGTATTGGTGACTTTCTCTCTGTCAGCATTGTTTCCAGAACATCTACAACCCAGTATATATCTAGATCTGGCCAGAGGGTATCCATACACATAAAATGTACACTGAACATGTAGTATCAGTTTTCATTAAATCTTTTCACATATGCTCGTGCTTTACTCCAGCCATTTGTCGCGGTTTTTTTGGCAGTGTGGTGTCAGTTACTATGGTTACACTTGGGTGTCACGAATAGCACAACACAGCATCATGGAGAAGATCATTCCAAGCAACTAAAATGAGAAAATTAGAAAAAAAAGGGTAAATTAAGTGAAAGTTATAATAAATGGTGGTATCAAAACCACTGCTCTGCGTATCTGCTAAAACTGAACAAAGAACAAGACAAGACAAAGTTCCATCTTCCAGTTTTCTGCTTGAAAATGACACACATCCACAACAATGTACATAAAACACTTCTAGACATTTAAAGCCAGCACTTTGAAGAATCGTATTTATTACAAATATGTTTTAACTTGTATCTCTTGTAATTTAACTCCTTAAATTTTGGAAATTTTTTTAATAGAGCTGTTTTAAATATTTTTCTCTTCAAAGACCTAGTTAGTGGCCATTTTCATTTACCATGTGTTAAAGACTTATTCATGACCCGATGTGAAAAAGAGATTATTTGTGTAAATTCATAAACGACACATATGCAATGTATACCAAAATAAAAATAACATGTACATAGACGGGGAACATTGGAAGATTCCCTTTTTAAAAAAAAGGAACACCACTGGGAGATTTCTATCAGTTTTTCTTTTAAGCATTAATTTTTAAGACAGAATGGTATCAACTAATGATGTCATTGCATGTGCAGTGGGCTATGAAATCACTACCATTGGTGTCCCTTAAACAACACTAAAAGCTACAAAGCAGTAATAATGCAATGATGACGTATCTTGCAATCTGATCAATCTGATCATGCTCATCTTGTACCATCTAAATCATAATGTTTTGTAGGTTCTTTTAATCTAGAGAACTCCACCTGGAACTTAATGTGTGTCCAAAAACTAACGATTTATAAAGAAAACAAAAGTATCACAGTTTATGAAGAGAACAGTCTGCTACAAAAGCTGTTTTATGCACACATTTATTTTCAACTGCAGACTTGGAGCTGTGAGTTTTAGGCTTGGTTTATAGAAGCTGCATTTACCCCAAACTTTTCACAGGATCTCTCATTATGATGATTGTGAATGTGTAAATTTAAGCTACCACAAATGTCAATTACTTTTTGACAAACATATAGACCAGCACCAGGTTGGTTTATACCAATTTCATTAAAGCTATAACAGAAATAATCTCATATTCTGTTCGATTTTGATTCTCAGCTTACATCCGCAATTCAACAAGCATATAACACAATCAACTGACGCATTTTTGAATGCATGCGTATGTGCATGCATACACGTTGTTGTATACATGGCATTTCCAAGGAAAATAACACTACATGGGACACAGATATCTGTCATGTAGTATTATTGGCTGGGTAACTTGTTCTTAAACAGGACTGGAATCAAGTAACAAATAAACTAAGATTGGTGCTTAATTACAACAGGAATATCTATCACATATCCACATGCAACACAGATCATGCTTTTCTTTACAAGATTCCTCACTTAACATAATTTGAATAAAGTCTTTTAGAAAAATAATAAGTCACTGTATAAGGTTTTCAATGACCCCCCCAAAAACTCAAAACCATTTTGACATTCATTCCAATATCTTTTTTTTGCGAATTCACTTCTATACATATACTGCATAAACATGCAACATGACCGACATACAAGGCTGTGAAAAGTCCACGGCTTTTATTTTTCCTTTGTATATAATAAGCAGTTCACAGCCCTGCACGTATTCTGACCCAAGGCATGTCCTACTCATTAGTAAGTGACCTTTTTTTATGCAGCAGACGTGACCTCACGAACTGCACAGCATAGCAACATAGATAAGATCATGCCGACCAGCTGAAATGGAGGCAGAAAAAATTGTAGGATTAGTATGAGGTGCTGGGGGAAGTAAGACCATTGTCTTGCAGGGGTTTAAATTTGAAAATGAAAAAAAATCGCTATCTATCTTGTGATAGAACTGGGCTTTTTGGAGTGGTGGTAGAGTGATACGGCTACTGGAGGCTATTCTAGATATGTTGGGAACAATTTAAGTGATTGAGTTTCTTTAAAATATTCTAGACATGCCAATGCCAATGTGTACAGATGTAACTTATCATAAATATATGACCATTTTTTTTCTTTTGCACCCTCTTAAAATGTGCATAATGTTTATTACCCCTTTATAAAAGACATCCAATTTCAAAACTTGTCTCAATCTTATAAATTAAACTTTCTACACAAATGAAATTTGTTTTTGCCAGCCATGTGTGACATTTATCAATGGAACTACACTTGTATTTGTAACATACCATAATAACTCCCATGCCAATGGCAACACCAGCAAAAATGTAAATGTGCTCTTCCAACTGGTTGAACATGGCATCTGCACAGCCCTGAAGAGAAAAGAAAAGTGGTTGTATAGGTGTGAGAAATTCTGTTAACCACAAAATTGATCAATCAACAGAATGGTAGTTCAGGTTGCCAGGGTTTAAAAGCATGCATTGTGGAATATTTTTGAGCCCTAAATGACCATCTATCTAGCTAGAGACATATCTGTGAATATCTGTAAAAATTCTATCACTCGCCCTGGTAGAGGGTAACTGTCAAACAGGTACAGTGCCCAGGATCAAATTCAGTTAGTTCCTCATTGTTTTCCATACCCTTAATACCCATATGATATATATATATATATATATATATATATATATATATATATATAATTAAAAATGAAAACGTTTTTCCTGTACGAGTAATANATATGTATTCTGGAGATTTTCAAGTACTTTGCACATAATCAATGTAATTTATATTATGATTTGAAATTACTGGGTACTGTACTGTACTACATAATGATAATACGGTACCCTCCACCTGGGGTCATCACAGTCTTCTCCAGTACAGTACAAATTTGGACAAATGGCTTCTGTCCAATTCTGGGTTGGCTAAAGATACTTAATTACTTACTCACTCAGTCCTGTTTAGAGACTAGTCTCACTAGAGTATAGTGCTCAGAGGGTAATGACTAGCATACAAAAACAAGCAGATGGATATTACCTAACTTACAGCTGTTGGTTTTGCAATTACAGGAGTGTGCGGGTTGAGATGAGAATTGAAAGGGATCATAAAAATTTGAGAGCTCCCGCATTGCGGCTAGTTTGGAAACTTTTCTTCAATTTGAAGCCTTTTCCTTTCAAGCACTGCGTATGTCAATAGGAATGCTAACGCATGAATTTTGTGCTAGTAGTAATACTATAGTACCTACCAAAAACAACGAGCCAAACCAAAAGTTTTTATTTCTCAACATGTATTTTATTCGCCAGAGCATCGATGGATAGTCGTCCATGTCACTTCTGTAAGGGAATGTCCCTCCGTAAATAGGCTATTCTTTGAATCTAGCTAATTTGTTTCATTAAAGCGCTAGTGTCTATGTGTTGGTCGTTTCTCTACGACCTTCACACGAAATTGGGTCATTCAAGACAGACTAATTTGAAGTTTATTCGTTTCCATTTTTAACGCCTATTTCTATCTATAGATGATGAAAAAATATAATAGTGTGTTTTGCAGCCAATCCGCTAAAATATCCCTTCGTTATTCTCTTATGTCACACAAAGATGCACAGCTGTACGAGCTGGTTCAATGTGTTAGTTGAGAAAACCGGAACATCAATCGCGCTCTTCTCTACTGCAGTGGGAATCAACACCCGAACGCACGTGTGAGGCTAACAGGCATGGTATGGTCCAGTTTAGTTCATTTGAAGTATTCTTACGGTTTTTACGTTCTTTTTGTAATTCAGGGAAGTGGTGAAGCTATTGACTTTGAATCTGTTGTGCGGGAAAAGTAATTGATTCAAAACAATGAAAACTGTAAATGAAGCAAAGGCTAAAGTAATAAAGACAAAATCTTTTCTCTCTAGAGTGAATGATTTGAGTTCAGTGTTACTTGTACATAGTTAAGCTTGCATAAAGAGTATGGTTGTATGTTTCTTTTCCTCAGCCTAAGGCACCAAAGGCCAATATCCCAGGGCGCCAGAAACCCATCCACCCTCAAAGCAGGAAGGCAGCCCAGTTGGCCAGGCAAGCAAACCACGAACAGAGAGTTCACCGGGCTCATGGAGACCAGGCTACCAAACTGGAGGTCCTGGGAAACAAGCTACTGTGGTTCAAAGAGAACGTGGATCTCCAGAAGACAGTGTACTCCAAGCTGGAACTTTGTTTGCTGGTTGAAGAGTATGTGGGGTTATTTTATTTTATAATTTTTATAGTTTAAATGTTGTTTATGCCTTTACAATTTATACTGCACTTGTCAAGTAGGGTATGATGTGTGATGGAGTTAAATTCATGTGATGCATGCACTTTTGCTCAGAGTATAAGTTTGCCTGTATTCGGGTCAAAACACGGTAACGGTGCCATGGGTGTCAAAATTTTTTTTGTTTCATTGAAATTTAAAATTTTTACATTTTTATAGAAAATAAATCAAATTTTCAGACAATGTAAGTTTCAATGATATACTCCCAGTACTTTTTGTGTGAGCCACTGGGAAACATAAAGGGAAAAATAAATTGTCTCTGACGGGACACATGGTCATATTGGCCTGAGTCAGATATTAGGTTGTTTTTTCAAGTTTTTATCACCCAGATATGTTAAACTAATCAGAAGTAATAGTTTAACATAGAAAACTGCCACCTATCACTTATTTTGAGTAAAAAATTATTTAGCACTAGGAGTGGTGTGTCCCGTCAGAGACATTTGACTTCGAAAAATTTTCATATTTTCCACATCTGGTAGGTTGTATATATGAAACTTAAAATCCTCTTTTAAATAATGATAAGTAATGATTATAGCTAAAAATTACAAAATTAAAACAATTAACAGTGAATTTATTGCCACATTTTATCGTTGTCTCTGACGGGACATTTTTCTGTCTCTGACGGGACATTTTCTGACAGATGTGAAATAAAGTTTTACATCTTCAATTGAATCATTTTCAAGTGTTCTGGTGTGTTACATTTCTTATTTTTCTTTTGCAACTGATCATTATTGGGTAATTCATTAACCATTACTGATTATTAGCTAGGTTGACTGTCAGTGATTAGGTGTTGACATGTGCCGTCAGAGATCACGTCAGAGCACTAGAACTGTGAGCAGGTCATTCTGTTCACTGCATGTGCATGATTTAGAACAGAGTCTGAAGGAGACCTCCAGCTCCAACCATATGTTGTGGTAACTGATGATCTGCACCATAACAAACAGTCCATCTTCACTTGTAATAAGGCCATTCTCGAAGACCTCCAACACCAGCAATCATCCAGCAAAGTCCATTACTGGTCAGACGGAGCCCGAACCCCCAGTCAATTCAAAAGTTGGTTTTTACTGTCTAAACATGGTACTATCATGAAAGAGATTTTGGTATGGAAGTGGTACTTTTTATACCACTGCCCATGGCAAAAGACCAGTGGATGGGATCATAGGGGAAATGAAACATCAGGTTTGGAGAGCTTTGCTCCAGAGAAAAATGGTTGTAGATGCACCTTATCAACTCTATTTGGCTGGCAAAGAATTATGCCCCAATGTCAACATAATGTACCTGTCTGCAGCAGATATTGTAGCAGCTACTATGCCCATCAGCAGTCACGGGGAAAATGGCCATCTGTTCCAGGAATTCAACACTTCTTGCAGCTTCAGCCCCAGTCCCAGCACATGTTCTTGTGTCAACCAATTCTCAGTACCAGCAACCCTCTTAATATGCTTAACTTATTCATATGACTGTGGACTTTGATTTGCCTGCACATCCGCACTATGACAATGTTGGTCAAGGCACAGCTCAGTCTCACCAGGGAGATTTTGTCATCGCAGAGTTTGCTGCCAGGAAAGGAGTAAAACAATTCTTAGGTCAGGTCACCCATGACACTGAAGACGGCAAAGTGGAAGTCAGTTTCTTACGTACTGAAGGTTCTGGCAAAAGAATCTTTGTGTACCCTTACACAGAAGACAAAGCATGGATTCTCATAAAAGATGCCAAGGAAGTCCTTCCAATACCTAGCATAGACACTCGTGGACTTTACTTGTTTCCATCACCTGTTAATGTGACTGGTTGAAAAAAATCTCTAAAGTGCAAAAAAGATGTGTTCTAAGACTAATTGAAAAACAGGAATTATTATGTGAACTATCATGGACAGTGTTGATTGATATTGGGAAATAGCAGTTATGGACAGTGGATTACGTGAAAATTGTACTGTGCCTTATCACTGTGTCATGATAATTAATTAATATTATAAACATATTGCATCTGGTGATTTTTCTGATGTACAGAAATGCTATTTTGCAATAACCATCAAGTAAGATTCATTAGATACAAAAATGTGGCTTTTTATACCTATTTTCTAAGATTTTTCAACAGTGCCCAAAAGTGTCCCGTCAGAGACGTCCCGTCAGAGACAGTGACTTTTTACACTTAACAGCCCATGCTGCCAAGGAAAGTTAACAAAACTGGCCTGTTTGTGCATTAATTGCTTCCCAAGACTTGTACCTTGCAATATGAATTACAAAAGTCTTGATTAAATGAAATTTCAAAGAGAATTTTGCACTGGAGTTTTAGTAAAAAAATACAGGGGTCAAAAATGTCCCGTCAGAGACAGACCTTTAAGTGCTTGTCATTCCCACATTTATTTCAATACAAATTAGCTGCTTGTTTTACATAATCCTTTATGGTCCAGCTAAATAAAAATGTATTTAAAAGTAACCATGTGGATCATTTACCAACTGTAATTTTTAAAATTGTCTCTAAAATGTCCCGTCAGAGACATTTCAAATACCGTGTTTTGACCCATATATATATATATATATATATATATATATATATATATATACTGACAATAAAAACGCATCAGAAAACTTTCTTGTACTTTTTTACCGAGAATCAATTCCAACCATATAAATAAGTACAAATGCACTTGTTTGGTCATAAGAGAGTGGGCTGACCACTTGGACGTTGAAAATAAGTATATATATAATAAGTATATATATAGTATATATACTTTGTGTATTTTAAGAAAATCTGAGGCCAAATAACCTGATTCCAGGTCAATTCCATGGTATTTTTAGTGTGCACATTAGCTGGTGATATAAATACTATTCTACTATTGGAAAAATATATCCTGTGAGCTTCGAAACCAGAGAAAGAATTTTGTTACAGTTTATTGTGTCACCTTTAAAATCATAAAACAGACTGACTGAGAAATCACTTGATTATTTGCCCACATGAACTGCAAAAATTCCCTTTTGAATAATGTACTTACTTTGAGGAGGTTCTCCACTTTACACCCACAGGCTGTGCCAATGCATTTAATCCCATAATCCGTAGCTCCATAGGCTCCACAGCACTCAAACTAAAAATATTTTTTAAAAATTCATTAAAATAAAAGATAATATTTATATATATATACAAATAACGAACAAATTTTGACATTCACTTCTTCTGTCATTTTCTATATTAACTGGTAGCTCATTAGAGTGCCTTTACCAGACAATTCTAGGACTTCTTTTGGCCACTACCCCAAGCTTCAAATCTGATGTGCACCAGCTTCTTAAATATCAACCTTTCCTGTTGCTCAGACCTTCACTGTGTTTCCAGTCAAGTTTATACAACCAATTACAGATACTCATTTTAAACCATTTATTTATCTGGATTCTTGGTTAAAATATGTGGTGTGGAACATAGTTAAGAAGCCATTTACAATAACTCCACCTCAACATCTGTTGACTGTATTTAGAATTTTATGTCTACTCTGAAAGAGATTCCTCATTTTGATAGATTTACTTTGCACCTGTCCAGTCCTTTTTTAACCTAGCTTGAAGCACTATATAAAAGTTACATCTTAATTTATGGGTGTCTCAAGAATACCTTAAAACTGTGAAAAATAACAGATGAAACGACAGCAAAAGATGGTTTACAATCAGTTTTGATCAGGATAATCAGATTTTCTTCAAAGTCTGGAAAATCCTTTGGTCCTTGAATACAGTGTTTTGAACAAATTCATTTCGTGGATTATTTGTTGCTGATAATATGCCTCCTTACAAATTATGTAGTGTTCACTTACTGTATTCTGTGTGGTTGTCAAGTAACTCTTGGAGCTGGGATCATCATAATTATCAATGGCTGCTTTTATGGTGGTGGCAAAGCCATCTTTGAACTAAAAATAAGATAACACCAATAACAATCTCATTAAAATGTTAATAAATTATTCTCGAATAATAGTGTTTTATATTCCTGCTAAATAAATGTTCAAGCACACAGACTAAATTATGCATGCACACGTATTCAAATACACTCACAGGATAACAGCACCAATATGGTTTGGATATGTACACGTTCATGCCTGCTTTTTCTCTTTTTTATAACATAAGGTGAACCCACACAAAACAAATTTTTGGAAGAGGCTTGTACAGCATCTCTGCTCATCATGATTGTATCCTATCTATGTAACTGTAAAATTTAACACATTATTTAACTTTTGCTCAATTTTGATATCAATATACTCACACTCTCTCTAGCTACAATGAAATAGATACCAGCTCCAACCAGGGCAACAAAGAAGATGAACAGGAAAACGAAGAACTGAAATGCAATTATAATTATTTTTTTTATTTGAAGCATTTAGAAGAACCAGTTATTAAATTCAAAGGCTGATAAATGACAAAAGGGCTTTGCTTCGATTTAAATTACATAATTTTCATGCAATCTAATTATGTAGCTAATTAATTAAATTGATCACTGTAAGTTACAATTACAATTCTAGTTTGGATAAAAATAAAAAACATCCGTTGTAAAAGCAAATACATATCTTATAAATTAACATAAAATGCCACATCTAGCTTTTTATTTTCCAAATATATATATCCAATAATACATCGTATTTATCAACGTCGTGAAAGAACTTACCGTTCCCAGCATGCACTGGCTTTCTCTGATGGCGCCACAGCACCCGCAGAACCCGACGAACATGATGATGCCGCCGACAATAAGCAGGAATATGGCAGCAGCCTGAATGTAAGTCGCCACGCTCTCATTTCCAAATTTATCGGCGAAAGATTTGTCTACCAAGGCCCAGATCCCTACTGCTACGAGGGCACAGCCAACCAACTGCAAAGATCAAATTAAATAATCTCAACTAAAACAATACAGTTTAAACCCTTACGGTGCACATTGTGCCACCAAAACGTCATCGTCTACTGGATATTCATGATCTAGTAATTAAAGCTAAAGCTATCTGGTGCCCTGCAGCTTAAAGCAATATTTGGTTTATTTGCATTTTTGTGCGTGGTAAAGCCTGTTACAACAAAATAGGAACCCCTCTTTATCTAACCTGTATTGCAAAATCTTCTGACGCGAAATTACGTTTCTAGTTTGACCAACAAAGCCCAAGCACTAGGGGATGTAGGCTAATAGTTATGCGAAAGGGGCTTGAGGAGAGCAGTCAGAGGGATTTTATTTTGTCATTCAGAAAACAGACATGGAATACATTTCATGTATTTCTTTATGTATTCTTAGGGAGGGGAGGGTAGCTCCCATAACTGTTGGATGGGAGGGGGTAATGGGACCACGCTCATTATGTGCCCACTGCCCCCCCCCCCCCCCCCCCCCCCCCCCCCCCCCCCCCCCCCCCCCCCCCCCCAACGTACCCCGACCACCCACCTTTGCCAAAATCGCTCCAGGAAATAGTTTTACCGCCGCACTTACCAGTTTTTTACCAATTCTTATAAGTTATTTTAATAATAATTAAAATGTTTGTTTTTACTGAATTCTGTAATGGCCCTATCCTAAAGGCTCTTTATTGGGTGTCACCAAGTTATTCATGACGACAGGGTACCTCGTACCAATTGCACTGGTCTGGAATGTTTCGTCACATCGAGATTATGCAATTTTCATTCTACAAACTTATTCTTAAAATTGATAGATAGCCTATCATTATTTTTATATAGAACTCACATCACCCAAAAGGGTAATAGGGCCTACGTAGTATGAAACCAAACTTCAAACATAGCCTAAATAAATTAATTACAATCTACATGTACTTGACCAACACAGGTCACAGACAGGATGTCCTGAAAAAAACACCGCTTTCGTTTTCTTTACAATATCAAAATTACCGACTTTAACAGAACCAAACATATAGAACTAAGTGTTGTTAAGCACTTGTGATTAATATAATTTATATGAAGTCCTAACACGAAGCGCCTGCCATCTTGAACTGAATTTAATTTACTAATATATGACCCGTCGCATATTTTTGTGTTAAGACCAACGGTTTAATTAACTCTTCCATCAAACGCTTCAACACTTATGGACCCCAACAAGATAACCTCTGTTTATCTTCCCGTTTCCTCCGTCGCGTCATAAACCCGTTATAGAGGGCCCAAATATCTACAGCCCATAACGATGTAATGGGGAACTTACTATGCTAGATCGTATTTGGAGACTGAAAGTTACAAACAAACCCCTTCCACAGGAGCGCAGACCATTATTCTGGGACAAGTATTGGCCATTTTAACTTGTAGAAATCTGACTCAGCTTCAAGTTATGTGTATTACTTAATGATTTTCCATGACATGCAAGAGAGACATGTAAATTACTCGAAACAGGGTCGCTTTCTAACTTCAGAAAAACAACATAGTATAATGTAGTGACTGTGGGTACTATCCAAAACTGATTATGGTCACTTATCCGAGCTCTTGTGTAAAGAAATTCGTGTGTAACCCTTGGGAAAGAAAAAATGAAAGTAAAATGGAACAAGAAAAAAGACGAGGAACAAGGAACATCCAATTCTCTTATTTAAATTGAATCTAAACTACTTAAAAGTCGTGGTTCAAATGACGTATTATATTATAAACGCAGTTCGTAACCATCGTAAAGGACTATAATAAGTATCTAAATTGTGACATAAAGCTTGTCGACGAGAAACTGAATAGGATAAAAGCTGTCCTCTTCAACCAAATTGTTGCTAATGTACAAAATAAGAAGGTATAAAAAACAGCTTACAGATAATAAAAACACATTCCCTAGTGAAAAGCGGTGGGGCGCAGTGGCGGATTTAGAGGGGAGGGGCCAGGGGGGTCCTGACCCCCCCTTCGATTTCTAAAAAAAACTCACACTTGAAATTAGAATTTTGATTAGCTGAATCGTACTTCTAAACAGTACCAAATGGCACCGTTCGTCCTCTAAAATACTAAAAATTTTCAGGGTTTCAGGGCATAACCATTGCACTGACCTCATACAGGCAAACTTTTTCTCTTAAATCTAATAACTGTCACCAATGAGATCTATTGCACGATACAAATTGATATCTCGACCCGTAAAAAACAAAGTGCTATGCCAGCATCTATCAGTCTATCAATTTTTAATTGAGAGGTCACACTGCATAAATAAACTTATTCTAGCGTTGCTGTTATTATTGTTTTTTTTTTTTATTGTGTAAATCTCTCTAACTCTTTATGTTCTTCCGGGTCTTTTTTTTTACTGTGTATCAGCTGCTTCCCCCAGCTTAGACACACAGCCAATATGTGAGCTGTTCCAAGTATAACCGACAATTCTGCACTTCCAACAATGTCCGGCATGGCTAACTTCTCAAATCAGGTCTTTGCGTTCTTCGACATTGTTCAAAGTGATCCAGTGACGATTGATATCACTGACACTTTCGATGTTCTGTGAATTCTCTTAATTTCAAATGCTAGATCCTGATATCTGTCCACTTTCTCTTCCTCAGTCTTGATGGGTACTGCTGCATTAATTTATGTCCATTCCTGTGTATCTTACTAGAGTCATTTATTATTATTATTATTATTATTATTATTATTATTATTATTATTATTATTAAGGCCACTGAAGGGGTGATGACGGGCGTGTATTATAGAATGTACGCATTTTTACTACTGGATACTCGTTCTGCAGTTATACCTCCCTTCTACGGAACACCAAAATAAATTACATAATAAATTGTTCCCTTTGGGATTTGATTATCAGATTAGCGTAAGCCTAAATAGTTTCCCTAGGCACCTAAGAAGATATTTATGTCATTAAACGTAATGTAATTTTAGGTTCCCAACAATGTAAAGCCAACATGAAAGAATTTTATAAAGGCATGCATCACTTGAATTGATCATACATTCTTGCACGATGTAAAAGTGATTTCGGGCAACATTTCCACTCTGATATTTATTCATTAAATCATTCAGTACCTATCCCTGTGTTATCAAACACGCCCAGCAAACAGAGTAAAAGAAATTTCGAATTAGCAAATCCTAGGACCTCACATTAAGACTAAAACAGACTTTCATTATCATCAATATCGGCGAGTGAGATACATAAATAGCACTGCCCTAATGTAGTTATCGGAAATGGTCCATTCCTTCCCAGTAATTGCTCGTCTTTCACTATTTAGACCATAGGTTGCTGATATAAAGAAGTTGCAATGGAGTGACTCAGATTTTGCGTCCAATATTCATCGCATGATCTCTGCAAACTCACAGCTCAGTAACAGTGGAGGTGACCAATTTTCTCGGGGTTGGAGTTTTGTGGGCTCCCGAAGGATACATATCATTATAAAAGAGATGTTACTATGAAATAGGCGCATTTCCCAAACCATTAGGGCACACTGATTTCGGTTGTTTAAATGGCGGTGTGAGGGTTAATATTTATTTACAGGCCCATTCGACTGCTTTGTTCAGCAGCGAATTCACGGGTTGAACGTTACAAACTGGGAGACTTACGTGCGATATCGATAGAAAGCTTATCAATTTCGTATTCATATATCTCGTGGGGTTATTGTTCAGAAACACCTTTATCTAATGCCTGGTTATGCAATAGGTTTTTCCTCTGGCCTTGGGGAGACATTGGCTCTATCCTCTCTTATTACAACGCACTGGGGCACAAGAGAAAAGATCGATATAAAATGATAACACGCAGAAAGCAATGTGCTTGCCTGTTCCTTTAATAATCAGGACGTCAAAAGTGTGTTTCTGTGTCACTGTTCGTTCCGTTGGGCAAGGCTACAAAACATATCAAGCAGCAATAGAGAAAGCGAGCACGGTGAAATTATAATAAAACAGTAGTGCGGCATGTAAAACAAGTAGGCGTTCGGTTAAAATATGGCGTGATAGTTCACAACCAAAATGTGGTTGTGGTTTCGTGACATCGGGTCGTAATTTAGACTCTCTAATACAAAGTAACTCTCAGTCAGAAAATGTCATCAGATATATCAGGACGTCTTTTAGCTTATCTCAAAAGTCACGAGGAAATTACCTTCGTTGCCCTGTAGAACTGACGTAGGGATCCAAGGCAGTTAAAATGACATGCCTCGGCTTCAACGAAGGGATGATTTGTGGGTTTAGGCACTGGACTCATCCGTGTCAGGCGGTCACAACGGTCGCCTGCGGTGCATGCGCTGTTATGGGACATTGTTTTGCTCCATGTACTACATATTTAAAGCTACTCTCTGACCACAGGGTGTGCTAGTAGTTTGGTACAAAATTTTGGTTTCGCTGATGCTTAAATCAAGTATATTATTTTAGAAGCCTCTGATATCAGGCTCCAGTTTCACAAAAAAAAAAAAAAAAAAAAATACTTAAATCAGTTCTCGGCCCTAGTTGACTTCTTATCAGAGCTTCGTGTGTACCTTCGCCTTGGCTTGTTAGATGACAGCCTCACTTAATTCAGACATGAATAGATTTTGGTTGCAATTCTTGTGTTTATCAATTAATAAAAATTGAGCTGCCGTGTGTGTGTGTGTGTGTGTGTGTGTGTGTGCGCGTGTGT